ATCTCTGGTGTTTCCTTGAGGATCTTCCAAGCGGGGACCGGCAGCAACGTGGACACCCAGTTCTCTTGTGTGCCTCTCCCTCCACTACAGAACACAAATCAGACACAAGCGGGGAGGATGATTTTGTTCGCTTCCGCCGACTCTTTTTCGCTGCCCGACACTGCCCTTCTGCACGCTCGAGCATGCCCCGAGACCTCCTAATGGCGGTAATCAGTAACAAATATGAAGAAGTGCCGTCGTCGGCGAGTCAAGACGAGGAGGACCCTCTTGTTGCAGAGGCGAAAGCTTGCTTAGCTCTGAAGGAACATATCTTTGATGCTGTACAACCTGGTGAGGTAGAAACTCTTAGACCGAGCGGCTTCTCAGCACTGGAGTTCTTTTCCGCAAACAAACCCAGGACGTGTGCTTGGTTGGAAGTAAGTATATCCTCGCCGCTCTTTTTGCTGCCATTTCGCTTCTAATGTTTCCCTTTTATTTTTCATTCCATTTTCCTCTATGTATTCTTTCGTCTTTTTGACTCAGGTACTCTACTCTTAATTGGGAAAGCTCTCGTCAACTATTTTTGTTATAGCTTTTGCCCTTGCACTACTTCGTGATTTTCTTTTTTGAAAACCCTTATTGGATTTACGTCTTTTAGTTGCCTTTCTGCTTTATTACATCGCAATACTTTATTTGCTTCACCCTCTCCCCGTTGCCTAGTGATTTTTTTTAAAACTCCAGTCAACCAACATCTCTTTTGAAATGAAGTTCAACCATAGCCACCACGACTAAAATTGACTAGTCTCCATAAAGGAATTTTTCGGACCCGTAGCGTTGAACGGGGAATCAGTCTTTTGTAACATTTTTGTTAGTGAACTACCTACCCCGCATCAGACAACTGATCAGCTCGGACGATAGCCTGCTGCTAAAGCCGAGAGAAAGATTTCGGTCCACGGTTCAGCCGTGTGTTGTGTAGAGTGGCCGACTGACGGACTGAAAGTCAGACTGCAATGGCTTCTTAATGAGTCCTTTATGGCGCTCCTGCGCAGCTGGGATCCCAGCCACCCCTCCCCCAAATTTTACTATGGTATTCTGATTGTGATATTTCACAGCACGTTGGTGTGCGCCCTCTCCAATCTCCGGTCTTCTTGACTTTGTTTTGACACCGGACTCAAGTGGGAAAGTGGGGAGACGGTGAGGTAGATGCACCGAAATTCACAGACTGCACCATCCCACGGTGGAGCACGCGGTAGACCTCGTTGAAATCGATGGTCGAACTTCCTTAGTTAACCCACAATGTAACTTCAATTAACCAGTTTTTCGGCATTTTAAAAACAAATTTAAATGCCAAGCCTTGGCAGGCTTACATATTCACCCAGCTGATCTATTGCTTGAACATCTATCTTTATTGCATTCTGCTTTTTACCTCCTTTTCAGGCCCCACTCCATCTCTTTGTTCTTAGAAAGATCGCGGTACCGCCAGACCAGGTCGACTCCAATCCACCCTTTGTACCGAAAGCAGCGTTTACTCCAGATGTGAATACACCGAAACCACTCTATCCTGTTAGCCCTACAGTGCATCCTCTAGACGTGGACGATGTGGTTTTGCGGCGTTTAGCTGCCGCTGGTTTCTGCTCCTCTTCTTTGGCTTTTCTCGCCGGTACTGGGGGCTGGCGTGGGTTCGCTGGCCTCCTCTCCGCCCCTGCCGTTTGCGGACTCCCCAACGACATTGGAGGTGGTGGCCACCAAGATTCTGGTCCAACACAACCGTTAGTATCCTCGGATCAATGCCTCCTGTGTCGCCTCTATGCGCACTTTCAAAGAGTTTACAAGTAAGTTTGCCTTGTAATTTGTGATGGCTTGGGGGCTCTGGGGACATGCAGCTGGCTACGAAACAAGGCATGACGAAAATTGGTTTTATTAAAGTCCCTTTCTCAGTCCCCCATAATTAGTTTTTGAAGCATTTTTGCATCTTTGTTGCTGACGCTAAGTCACTTTTTGTAGGCTAAACGTTTATTTTTCCACGCACTTCAACATTCCCTTAACGTCTGTCTACCTTCTTGTCGTCTCTGCCTTGACTGGGACGAGATCTGCTGCGTGAGTGGGCAAGGTTCGGCTGGATCAAAGGGCCATATTACAGTTCAGTTTGAGTAAGTTAAAGGTTGGTGAATGCCCGTGAACTCCCCATTTGTCACTGTTATGTCGCAAAAGAAAATCACCTTTATATAATGAACGTTAGACTGCAGATGAGCTATAGAATACATGTAGCAGTCAATTAATGCGTTGTTTAGCGAAAATGGCGAACGAATTAAGACACTTCACTGAAATGTGGAGGCGGACCATCAAATAGTACACAGAAAACGCTCGACCACACGTTATCACTACAAGGCATTTTGCAAAACAATTATAAACCTCAGTAATAGTAATGAAGGTGCGATTCCCGGGTGGCAAGTCAGAAGGAAGAACGCTCACCGGGAGAGGTTTTTTAACGTCAGCCCTCTAATAAACCTCTCCTGATGAATGTTCCCTCTATTCAGACTATTCAAAATTCCTTGGGCAACATCTGTTAACTACACCAGAAGCGGCTGCGATCAGGGTACGTCAACCGATTCTATGCATCCGAAATGAATTCGTAAGGATGTTGCGGTTACCATGCCAATCCATTCACCCACAGCTAATTACCCTTCCCTGAGACCAGTACCCCCGTGACGCTGATCAGATTACTGACCGCATTTTTTCTTTCCCAACCCTTACAACCGTATGATTTTTTATACTTAACCGCATATTTTTCTTAGTTACATAGCGAGAATTTATGGCAAGCAAATGTATGCTCGCCACATTATATTTTGTTATAAACGCTGTTACTGACAAATAGGGTGTAGCAAATTTTTTAACTTCTTGGGTGCTCATACACTAGCAATGTAAACTTTGCAACGTACTGCACGCATTTCTTCCTCGATGGATTAACCTTCGCGTCTGTTAGAAAAAAATCTACTGAATGCTTTGTGCGAGCAAGCATTGAATGAAATTCGGATATTTTCCGTTGCATTTATTCATCTGTAGTCTTGACGGGTAAAAAGATGTCAGTAATTGGACATCTGATCCGCTTCACATCTTCAACCGTTGGCTTTTGGCTAAAATATTCGATTATGCATCATTGTTCAAAAACATTTTCAATTCGCTCCTGCCAACGCACATTTTATACATGGTTTCAACTTTGTCAACTTTGCTCGAACGCAGAATAAAGGCCCGATTAACGGCGAAGGGCAAGTGGACTGTACCATATTTTCGGTGGCTTTCTCGGGTTTGTGGTTAGCGGTATTTGAAGCCCAGTTTATTGCAACAATACGACATACAAGTGAAAGTATGCTGTCTTGCTATACCCCATGAAGTCGGAATATTTGCGTAGTGCTGTAAAAGAACACCAATATAAACAGAAGTACTTTTAAATAAGTCGTTTCCGGAACCGCAAAAACTGATCTTAAGTCAGCGAAAAGCAGGTAAAAGCAAGTGTCAGGAGTCACATTGTTTTACAGAAAAAAAATTATTTGCGCCTTTGCTTGTATGATAAAAATAGTATACGCGTCGACAATCAATGAAAACTTTTCGTGCACGATTGGTAATGCTTTTCTTATTATCGCTGATTGAAGTGGCTAGGTTAATTATCTGGCAAAAACAAATAAAAATGATAACTTTTAACCGCTGGCAGCTACGACGATGTTTTCGGAACATGTAAAAAAGTGTTAGTTAAATAAATAACATATCCTTTCTGATTTTTTGTTTTCAACGTGTCTTAATTGAAACTACTTTTCAGCGTATCCCGTAAATTCATTACTGCTGTCTATTCCGGAAAAATCATGTAACCGAACACTGATTTTACTCATCGATTGTCAATGTGTGTGTTTATTCTATCACCACACCCTCCCCCGAAAAGTTAAAGTCCACATAATTATAGTTTCTTATAATCATTTCCTCTTAGTGTACACACGATCAAAAAAAATAAAATCTTCAGGTCGAATACGTTTCGGCGTTCCAGAAGTGCATGTTTACACTGGTTTTCGCCCAACCCTTTGAGCAAGGCTTGCTCAGATTCCATCACATATCATGCCTAAATTCTGTATCGATATTTCCGATGAATAGTTTCCTTAAGTTTCTCTCGAAAAATACCCTCAGATGTCTCATACAAAGTTCCTTTTATTTATCTCTTTGTCTCAACGTTTTACCTTTAGAGGTCTCGTCCTGAATGCTAGTCACTATGAGGAAGCGGATCATCGTGTCAAATCCTCCTCTACTTGCATGAAAATACCGCCCGGGGATATTAAGTGGGCTCCTGGTTCAGCTGTTTCCGTTCTTGGTTGGACAGGTGCGCCTGCTGGCCTGGCTCCACGGAAAATTAAAACTCTTTCGATTCAGGAGTCGATTAATCTAATGAATCGCGTTCGCCAAGATTACCTGGTAAGTTACTTCTTCATTTAATTGCTTACTTATTATCTTTGAGTAGTTGGTCTTCCGTACATTTTTATTTTTCCAATCATAGGCGTCGTGGAGAAAATTCAACTTGCCTGCTCTTCCGAAGTTGCCACCACAACCTGCTTTATCTCTAAAGTAAGTTAAGCAGAACTACAACCACGAATTACCACTCAGTGTAGATTATGTAATCGTTGACACCTTTCAACTATATGCTTAATCTAACACTAAAGCTGAATTTCTATAGCTTTGCAACTTCATCCTTTTTACATTCGATCTCTTTTAATTCGGCGCCTGTCAGATATAGGGAAACGGAGCTCCTGGACGAAGATGACGATGCGGAGACCCTCAGTGCTGACGAATCTGATTGTGAAACTGTCATTGACGGATGAACCAATTACCTGCGCCTTGTGTTCTCACGAAGAACCAATTGAACTGCAGTTTTATTTTTCTGTTTCATCTTCCCGATTTAAGAAAATTATGTTCCCCAGTTTCGCACTCAGTTATTTTTTTACTTAATCCCGATGCGTTCTTTCACTTTTGACTTATTTTTACACTCCGTCTCTTCTACACACGACAGTTGGACCATTTCGAGCGACGTCGTGTACGTTTGCCTCACGCAGTAGGCGCAGGATGATGACTTACCTGTGAATAAGTTTGCAGAGAGACATAATTGCGTAGTTTTTGCGTCACTATATCTGCCCTCACCCATTTTGCCCTGATGACAGAACAATGTCAAACCGACGGAAGGCGCGTTCGGGCGCAGTGACTGACAAAGCTGAATGACCTGTCTATGCGTGCCGCACATTACTTAATACCCACATCGTGTGTCTGACCTCAACGATGGTTGTTTGGATCTCTTCTGTGTGAGATTACCATAAAGATCACAGTTTAAGTGGTCACCAAGTGCGACTTGGTCCTGCAGTCAGTTAATCCGTATGTATGTTCGATCACTGATTTCGATGAAGTGCACCAACAGGCTGGTACAGGTGACAGTCTCAGGGGGTAGGTTTTAGTGATGTAGTCGGCGCTAA